TTGGCCGGGGAGGAGAAGGCATATACACCAAGTTACAGTCAGCTGGATGCCAAGGCACTGTTGGTAAACCCTCCTGTTGGCCCCTACAGGGGTCTCTGATGGTGGAGGACCCACTGATGCTGTCAAGCATCTTCAGATAATCAAACTTTTGAAACCCCAAATCCCTGAGCTCACATATCATCCCTTAATTCTGCCTAAATCGCAGCTCCCAGATTTAGATACTAATACATTAGATATTTTGGAAACTACCTTCTCCTTGCTTAATAATTCCAACCCCACCCTTGCTTGTGATTGCTGGCTCTGCATGACAACAGGGGCAATCATGCCTATGGCAGTTCCTATTAATTCTATCATAGACAATGATAATACATGCCAACCCGGATTTCCTTTTAAAGTACAGCCTATAGGCACTTTTACATCATGTCTTTTAGGCACAATGCAGAATAATACGTATGATATTGATGTTGGAGTTAATTCCTTTGGAAATTGCTCAACAGTAAAAAATTATTCCTCACCCACCCCATCTCTTTGTCCCCCCAATGGCACAGTTTTTATGTGTGGAGGAAACTGAGCCTTCCCCAGGCTTCCAACGAATTGGACCGGTGGCTGTGTTCTTGCCTTATTACTCCCTGATATAACTATTGTCCCAGGAGATGAACCTCTACCCATTCCTAGCCTAGACACCTTAGTCAAGAGACACAGGCAGGTAATACAGGTCTTACCACTCTTTGCCAGCGTTGGAATAACAGCTGCTGTGGGCACAGGTACAGCTGGCTTAGGCACAGCTATACACTCTTACCGTCACCTATCTCAACAACTTATAGATGATGTTCAAACTCTATCAGGAACCATTAAAGATTTACAGGACCAAATAGACTCCCTGGCAGAAGTGGTCCTTCAAAACAGACGAGGCTTAGATTTGCTGACAGCTAACCAGGGAGGTATTTGCTTAGCCCTAGGGGAAAGATGCTGCTTTTATGCCAATAAATCAGGCATAGTACCCACTAAAATTGAGCAGCTTCAAGAAGATTTAGAAAAGAGATGAAGGAAACTATTTGAAAATCCCCTCTGGACTGGGCTTAATGGATTTCTACCCTACCTTCTTCCCCTATTAGGCCCTTTGTTGGGTTTACTTTTAATGGTGTCCATAGGATCCTTCATTATAAACAGGCTGGTAAAATTTATTAAAGAACAGATTAATATTTTGGCCTCTAAGCCCATACAGGTCCACTATCATCGTCTGGAGATGGAAGACCATGCTGCTGCCAACATTTAAAAGGATGTTCTACCCTTCTCACAGGCTTATTTCTTAAGTTTACATCCCCACAGATCTCTCTTTCTTATATAAAAATATAAGTAAAAGCTCTGACCAACCATCTTCTGCCCTTGCCATCAGGGTTAAGTTATCGCTCCTCCATGGGCCCCTCCGCTTGGGGGACGACGCACCCTTGGAGTGAGGACGTTAGGCCATAATAATGGAGGGTGCCGGAAGGACTGCAGGAGGATGGATCCACAGATCCCAAAACCCAAGACCTCTGAGTGACACACTCTGGTGATGGCGGTTGGCATGCTCCTGCCTCCAAGCCGTCTCCTCCAAAAACATGCCAAGGCCACCACAAAATCTCCTAATGAAGATGCTCGCTCAGATCAGGAGACATTCTAAGGCCTCCTAGAGGAACAGAGCCTCTATCACCCCCTACAAACATGGCCGGTAAGGTATGGTCATTTCTTATATAAGAAATGGGGAAATGTCAGGGACTAGAAGGAAATTTTCCTTCAAAGAATAGCCTGGCAGCCCCCTGGGAGACATCCTGCAGCTACCTATCTCCCTGGAACATCCTGTGGTTATCAGGATCATCAGACATCTTGCAGCTGGCAGTTTTACCACCCACATCCAGCAATTGCTGATTAGAGAGCTTCCCCATCCCCAGCATATAAATACCCCTGTGTGAAAAATAAAGTTTGCAGCTTGATCAGAATTCCTGTCTTGCTGTCACCTTTCGTGTCTCTTGTCCCTTCATTCCTCCCCATCTAGGTTTGCTGCCCACGTTGATGTGTCCTGCCGGTCGGGACACTGTGTGGCCAGAGGAGGGAGATGCAGGGGTGAGAAAGGGTGTGGATGCAGTCACAGGCAGCAGCAGCAGCAGCAGTTCAGAGCCCAGGAACCTGGGGGAGCATGGGGGTGACTGGAGGACAAAACCTACAGCAACCTATGCGAGTGCGGCAGCAGCACAGAGATTGAGATGGAAGAGGCAATCACAGCATGGGGAGGAATCACAGGCTGGAATACACCACCTAGGGCCACATGGAGGGAGGCACCCAGAGACTACCAGGTGTGTTTTACTCCAGGCAAGGATCCAGGGACACAGAGGTGTCCAGGAGGTAGCTGACCCATCCTTCTCAACCCCAGGACCATTCCAAGCACCTGCTGGCTGAGCCTACCTTCTCCTTGTGCAGGATGCTGTTCTCCAGCTCATCTACCTGCAGGAGTTTCCTGGCCACTCCAGCGTAGGGCAGCTTTGTGAGAATGCCAATGTAGCAGGCTACTCCAAAGCTTGGCAGGGGGCAGAGGAGCGTGAACTAGGGCAGTGGGGTTGGGCAGCAGTAAGCCATGCAGCCTGGAGGTGGGCACAGGATGAGGGATGAACAGAATCTCACCATCTCCAGACCAGCAGAGCACTCAGGGCCCAGACTCCAAGACCCTCTGTGCCCTGACTTCATGGGTGAGGTTGGGGCAGGCCCAGCAGCCTAATCAGCACAGTCACACTATGTCACCCTGTACTTCATTTCATTTTCTGGCAACTTCCTTCTTCCTCTTCACTTTGCTGCTACCCTCAGGCCTCTGCATATGTTCCCATGGCCTGGGTGCCCATGCCCAGGAGCGGCCTGCTGGTCCCAGCACTAGAATCCAGGTTAGAGTGAATTTACCTTTTGTCTTGGGGTCCAAGGGCAGTGGCCAGGATGACCATCAACCTAAGAGCCCTCCTGGGCCAAGTTCCCTGCATCTACAGGAAATGGTGCTCCTGTCTGATTATGAACAGAGGACAGACTGTCCAGCTCAAGGATGGTGGTGAGGGTGGAGCTCCCTGAGCTCAGGCCCTGTAACTTTTCACAGTGTCCAGGTTGGCACTGGACCATGGTCCTGGAGATGGGCCAGTGTAAGTGCTTTGGAAAGAGGAAGGTAGGTAGTAAAGGTGGTGTGAAGGGTGGGGGGCGCTCTTCTCTAGGTGGGGGATCATCTTCCTTTTTCTCAAGACCTTGTCTTTGTTATTGGATTTACATTAAGAATGAGGACTGAGCTTCCAGTTACAATTTCAAAGGTGCCCACCTGGAATCTGGTGTGTGAGGGCTCCCAATCACCCTTCCCAGGAGTTCTTCTAAGGGTGGTGGTGTTACTGAGGAGTAATATGGGCAGGAAGGGCCTGGGGTCTCTTTTGATTAGCACCTCTTTGTTTCCTGGGAGCTGCTTCATTAACATTTCTTTAGAATGGGCTCAGGGCCTTGGGAACATTAACATTTCAATTTCCCCTAGTGCTGCTCTGCTTTTCTGGGCTCCATTCTCAACAAGGCCTTTATTTTTTATTTTACTCTATATTAGACCCGATTTACCTAGCTACACTAACTACCTATCTTTAATGGCTAGCCTCACCCCTGTTTGCCCCTTGCCCTTTTGGGCCTCCGTATAAGTAAACCCTGACTCCTCCACCACCTGCATGGGCTGCTGAAGGCTCCAAGACAAGGCACAGGAAGGCACTAGCATGAATGCAGCATCCTGTGGACGCTGGGAGGGATGGAGGAAGCCAGGTCTCCTAGAGGCTGTAACAGTGAGGCATCAACACTTGCTTTATGAAAAGACTTCTAGAAAGGTGGGTGTGCTGTCAGAGATAGGAAATCAGAGAAAATAACAGGAGAAGTTAGACACACTGATGGAGGGGAATGCACACTGGTGTGGCGCTGAGGGGTCAGAAGATGAATTGACTGAAGGTTTTTGCACACGCTGCCAGGAGATGAGGAGGACCGAGGACCCAGAGGTCCCAGGCTTTCTGGAATGGCTGGCAACTACCCAGAGAGCTTTTAAAGTTCAGCTCCCTTTCTTAGGGCTTCTCTGGCAAAGAGACTGTTTTCAAACCCAAAAGACCCCTCCCCACAGTGGAAAAGGATGGCTGGTTATATCCTATAGAGCATATAGGTCAACCTCTGCCTAGAGCACATGAGGGCAGGGCTCTTAGCTCTCTCATCATTAGTCTTACTGGCCTGAGCACTTTTCAGCCTAGCCTGTTTCATTCCCCACCATAGTGACATCTGTAATAGGCTCCTCTTATGTCATGGGCATGGGAAATGAGAAGGGGATTTTCCTTTCTTGCTCACTGGTTTTTGGAGATTGTGTGGAGAAATTCTAATGAAGCAGCCACCATCACCCTATGGGGACACAGGATACCCCTTTTGTCCCTGTGGAAAGTCATACATAGGCTTCAGCAGTTCAGCCTGCTTAGATTCACTAAGAATCAGTTTCACTTGTCTACCATTAGAGTGGATCCTCCCACTTTGGGTCATTTGCAGGTAAGTTCCTTACCATGTTACTGATAAAATGGGCAAGAGATAAATCCCAGCCCTCTAGGCTAACACAGAAGAATCAGTTCTCTTAGGTGTGTTCAGTTGCTAATCCAGCCTCAAAAAAGAAGTAGAAACTGTGATTTAGGAGCAATCACCAAGAGATCCAGAGGATTTAATAACAAAAATGGGGGTGGAGGTAGAGGGTTCTAGAGAATGTATGTGTAGTAGGACCCTGGGACTTCCAGCCTCCAGAACTGAAAGCATTAAATCTCTGTTGTTTATAAGGCACCTGGTTTGAGGCATTCTGATATCGCAGCCCAAATGGACTAAGACAAGGGTGCAGGGGGCCACTCCTGGGCTTGTAGAGTGAGAGAGATCACTAGAAAAAGCAAGTCTAAACTGGTTCTAAGAGAAAAGTGTGAGCTGGCTGGGCACTGCATGGTATGTGAGGGAGTCAAAGCCGACCTGAGTGGGCTGTGGTGTGGGAAGGATAGTAGTGGTGGGAGTCCAGCCTATTGGGTCATACTAAGCAGAGAACAGATCACAAAGGGCCTTCAAGCTACTGTCAATAAGTGTGAACTTGAATTGCCTTTAGGTCACAAAAAAAACGACACTGAAGTCCTGTTAAGAGGACTCATGATGACATAATCTCATTTTTTTTTTTTAAGGCAATCACTCTCCTAGCCCTGGGCACCAAGAAGAAAGACTTGGGATGGGGAGCCCATTCGGCTTAGTAACCTACAGAAGCAGAGATGGCGACACAAACAGGAAAGGGGCTGAAGAGAGGCAGACAAGAGGGCAGATTCCAGCAAGATTTAAGAAGCTGAAAATATGGAGCTGACATCAGACAGGATGTGAAGGGAAGGGGAGAATCCAGGAAGTGACAAGAGATTTCCAGCTTGGGCAGCTCTGGGTGTGCTGTCCATCACTGAGGTGAGCACCAGAAGCTGACAACCAGGCTTGGAGGTAAACATCAAAGTTGGTTCTTAACAGTCACATAATTCCCTTAGTTTTTATCTTTTTTTTCCCCCCTTCACACTTCTCACTTGTTAATGAAATTCTACAAAAGGCGGGCTGGGGTTGTGGCTTAGTAGTAGAGCGCTTGCCTGGCACTGTTCCAGGTCCTGGGTTCCCAGGAGCACCGCAAAAAAGGAGAAAAGGAAAAAAAAGAAAATTCTACAACTTTGCTCCAGGTCTTCAGCCTCTGCCTGTCCCTTGGGTTACCTAGCGCTCTGGGAGCCATCTAGTAGGCACAGGTGTTGACACTGTCCCCTTTCAGGAAGGATATCTCAACGCTCCAGATCCTCTGCAGACCCAAGAAGGCAGGGTTCCGCTGCGACGCGATGATGTCGCGGTCCACCAGGAGGGCCTTCAACCAGACTTGCTCCCTGGGAGGACAGAGGCTTCAGCCTCGTCAGGGCTCTGCGCGGGCTCGGCCTCCCACTGCGCGCTGGCTGAGCGCCCTCCCTAGTGCCCAGAACCTGGCCTCCCGCTGGTTCCGTCGTCTCCCTGCTGCTGGCAGGGCAGGATGGCTGCCAGGCTTGGACGCATGGTAGCCCCGCCCCTTCCCCCATGGCCTCCGGAGGCCTCCCCCGGCTGCCGCCTGAGTTGGCTTGGGTCCCACTCCTAAGCCGAGCAGCAAGGTGCTGCAGAACCGCGTTTCCCAGCACACAGTCTTGCAGGCTGCACAGCCTCACCCAGCCAGGTAGAACGTGTGTACAGCAGGAGTCTTGGACATCCAGGTCAGTGTTGCCTCTTACCCCGTGCTCCTCAAAGTAATGGACATTTACTCGGTGCTCTCTGTGTCTGGTGCTGTGGTTGCAGCTTCCTCAGTAGTTTCACCAGGGGCAATGAGAGGGGGTGAATAGACAGTGCAGCTGCAACTAGTGCTGAGTGAAAATAATACCCCGGGGAGCTGGCTTTGATGATGGTTGGGAAGGGCCTTTTATGGAGGTGACATTTAAAGGCGACCTGAAGGGTGAATTTGAGACAGCATGCCAGGCAGAGGAAACAGTGGGTTCTGAGATAGGAAAGAGGCTGATGTATTTGAGACACTGAAAGGCAGCCAATGAGGCTGAAGTATAGCAATTTAACCCATAGCAATTTAACTTATATTCTGAGAAATCAGAAAAGTATATGCATAAGTCATGTAGTCTGAATATAGATTTCAAGAGGACAAAACAGAACACTGCATTAGATTGGACTAATTAGTTTCAAGTTTGGGAAAGACTTCCTATAGCACCAACAACCAACAGTGTCTTGAAAGCAGGGCAAGTTCTCAGCTTGGGGAGAGGGCATGTCCCATTTCTTGAGCACCTACCCCATGCCAGGCACTGTGCTGTTGTTTACCTACTCTAATTTCTCACCACATAACTGGGAGGCATTTAGCACGTGAGAAAAGGCTAAAAATGATCAAGTGGCTTTTCTAAGGTCGCTGAGCAGGCAAACTGGAGAGCCAAGACCTATCTATGCTTAGGTCCATCTGGGCTGTGGTATATCAGCCTGATTGTGTTAGAGCTAGGGTTCTGAGGAAGTAGCTGTCCTCTGGGCTGAGGTTCCATTGTGTTTCGGAGTACATGTAGTGATTGGGAAGGAATACTGACCTTGGTGGGTCCATGTGAAGGGAAAGGCAGCACACTGCAGACTGTGGAGCCCCCATACAAAAGCAGCTCCAAAAGCAGTGGGGGCTACTTCATGCACAGAACCCTCCTCATTGACTCTCTGAAGCACTCCACCAGCTGAGAAGGTAGCAGGTTCAATGTCCCTACAGGGAAGGTCTAAGTTTTGGTAGCATTTTCTCTTAGAAGAAAGCACTCGTGCTTGTTTTTCCAACTGGACCTAGGATTCTGAATGCTTGAGCATATGCTTAGTGAACTTGAAGGGGTCAGAACATTGCAGAATACAATGTGAGTGCCAATTGCTGATGCCCAGCTCCAGGCCTCAGGGCTTCTGTCCCATCGAGCACTCTGCAGGCACTTTGACACTCACTCGGTGCTTCTAGCATCACATCAGAGATGCTTTCCATATGCACACGGGGGTAAGTGGGCATGCCAGAACCTGGGTAAGTTTGGCTGGGCCCTTTGAATTGATATTTTGCTCACAGTGATTATCAGTGGAAGTTTGTTTTTAAGTTGGAACTGCCTTAACATTTAGGAACAGCTGACTATCTATGACTATCTGCCTTAACTGTCGGAGACCAGCTCCAACAGGGGGTCTCAGGAGATGAACGGATGGTGAGGAGTCGGCGAAAGAGGGGGTGGAGAAACAACACAGACACCAAAGTGAAGGTGTTGATCCCAATCTTTACTTGTGAAGTTGATCATATATACTTTTCATTTTGGCAGGCTT